CTGCTTGTCAAACGAATAGTCCCGCCCCCAAACTCACGTGATTGGTTGAGTCGGCCGCTCAATCAGATCAGTGTACAAATAATTCACATAACATCCCAGGCTTTTCAGCTAAATTATTGTTTTGCACATTTGGGTATTAACACACTGCGTACATTTTTTTTTAAAAATAAAATAAAAGTTCCATGAAGAACTTCCAGCCGACGCGTGATTGATGACACTTCACCTTGTCAAAGGAAAGGTTACGGATCGCGGCAAACAGCCCTAAATTATTTCCTTATGTGCCGCAGCACCAGAGTCTGGACACGTTTTCATGTTTGTGTGACATTCACTCGCTCTCTGGAGTCCAAACGAGAAAATGAATCCGCCATGTGTCGCGAAGAGGGCCCCATTGATTACAAGCAAGAAGTTACAACGAGTTCAAAGCATATAAGAGTTTCTTTGCGTTTCTGTCCATCATGCAATAAAGAGACTTCACAAATATCTGGTTGATTCCTCCATCCGCTGAAGTGGGGTTTAACCTTTAAAAACGTACATCTGTGAATAAAGTTATTTATCAGAAAGTCTAGGTTCTTATCCTTCAACAATACTCCAACTTTAACTGAGACTGAGAGCACAGTCAAAGGGCGTGGAGACGCGCATCTACTGATAGAGAAATTAATATCATAATAGACTTGCATGAGAAGCTGTGGGAAATAGTTATTAGATGAGAGTTTAATTAATTGTTATAATTTGTAAACAAAGAAAAATCACGAATGCCTAGAGTGTTATGTTGCCGATATTTCTTGTAGGGTTCAATGCAATATCATTTCCCATGCCTAAAGTCTTCAGATCTTAAGGGTCAAAAAGAAACATGTAAAAACATGCAATGAAACCTCTTAAAATGAAGCATGAGCTGATGTTATTCTCTCATTTTAAAGTTACTGTCTCCACCTGCTGGTCAATATTCATAAATGCATCTGTTTATTTCTATGTATTTCTGACTTCATATATTTATAAATACAGCAGCTCTATATTTGTTTGAAAAAATTATGTTTCAAATTTGTATATAAAACAAAGATCATTGGAGTACATTTTAAATCTCAGTTTTTCATTTTAATTCAGTGCGTTCATTGCTGTTTCTTTATAAATGTTTGTGAAATTTACTAGCAAATGCTGAGTAAAAATTGTTTCTACACCATTTTTTTTGAGTGTATATGTATAAATATAGTAGTTTGTATTCCACAACTCTTCTAATGCTAGACCCTTTAAGACAGGGTTTGAGCAGCTCAAAGAGCTGTGAGCACATAATGGGGAAAAAATGATGAAAAAAAAAAAGCCCCAAAATGACCAGAAATGAACTTTTTTTTCCCCCAATCCAAACATTCTGAAACACTGACCTCCAGGATGGTGACAAATATACCTGAAGAACATTTCCATTCATCTCAATGAAGCTGATGATCGGTCTCTTCATTAGAAATTAGCCTACTGATTGCCACCATTGATGGACAACATTTTTTAATAATATTAAAATTATCTGTATGACATTATGTTCTGCAGTTCTTCCCTGTTGTACCGAATATCTATACTTTTCAAATTATCATATCGAAGTTAGAAATTCAAATATTGTGACAAAATTAATTTTGTAGGGTGCCACAAGTTTGTTAAAATTTCCAAAGGGTGCCGCGACTAAAAAAAGGTTGGGAAACATTGCTTTAGACAATATTAGAAAATAGATTGTAATAAGCGGTTTATATGTTATAAAAGTCAGATTGCATAAACATTTGGAATGTTTTTCAATGGAGAAAGATGCTTTTGCCTCCATAATGATGCAGTTATGAATGAAATCCGCTTATCGTTAACTAAAACCATTAAAAAAAAAACATAAAATCAACAATAACTGAAATAAAAAAAATGATTTCGGCTAGTTGCTAAGACAACAGTTCTCATTTTGTTTAGTTTGACAAAGTACTAAAATAACAACTAAACTAATATGATCAAATATATTTTTTAATTATTTACTTTTTATTTTATATATTTATGGTTATACATTTTTTTATATTATTTATTTATATATTTAAAAAAAAGACAAAAGCACAACAAAACTTTAATATTAAAGTGAAAACAGAAAATATAAAAATAGAATCTAATTCAATATGTTAACAAAAACTATATACTAAAGTAACACAGTGACGGATTGTTAAAATACGAAATAAAATAAAATCGTAAAACTAGTTTATTCAATGCTTTATTCATCTGCATCAATGCTCTCTATGAATGATCTTTAGTTTGAGTCTTTTCTCAGCAAATATTGATTAATTATTTGATATTTACACACTAAAAAAATATAACTATAATATAACCTAAATATAAATATAACCCAGCGCTGGGTTAAAAAGGGACAAACCCAGCTACTGGGTTGTTTTGACCCAGCGGTTGGGTTGTTTTGACCCAGCTATTGGGTTGTTTTGACCCAGCGGTTGGGTTGTTTTGAGTCAAAATAGCTGGGTTTGTCCCTTTTTAACCCAGCGCTGGGTTATATTTAACCCAGCATTTTTTAGAGTGCAGTATTAAATCATCAGCACCATGCAATTAATTGAACTGAAAATTGTAGTTGAATGACAGACCTAATAAAAGTATAGTGTCCATATAGCTACAGAAGTCTTGTGTTGTTTCTCATCACGCTGAACATTTGCAGATTATATTTCATCAATCTACTTTCAAAACATGCAACAATGTTCCATTAAAAACAGACAAACCAACCACAATAAACATATTTCCTTTTATTATGATGACCAGCATTAGTACAGTGCTGTAGATTCCATTACATCCACAAAATCTCATTTACATTTCATTTTTATCGTAGCACCAAAGATTTCGTTACAAAACACTGTATACTGAAGAGCAAAGACACTATGAAATAATCTTTGGGTAATCAGTGGAAAACAAGCCTCAAACCATCTGATGTTCACACTTCAAGTATGAATATATAAAAGTGTTAATACACAGGTGTAAATGTCTACACGACTCGTGGCACATAGTGCATCATACGGTCCTTTAATTTCTGATACAGACCTCATAGAGTTCAGTCATCTATCAACACGATGATAGTCAAAGGCTGGTTAGCTGCTCGCAGATGATCCGTTATACCATATGTTAACCTAAAACAGGCCTCTTCAAGTTATATTATCTATATTAACACACATTAAGCATAATTAAGCAGACTTTGGTTGAAAGCTAAAAGAGAGTAGTTAAAACTATTTATACTACATTACATATGCTTGAAATATTCTCCAGCTATTTACAACTAACTCTAGTAGCCTACTGGTTAAAGCTCATTCAGTAGTTAAAACAGCACCGTTACTCTGTAAACCTCTTGTTAATGGCCAATAAATGGCAAAAGATCAATATTTAATAATATTATGATTTTCTTGTCAAATGTATGTACATTTAGTTACGGAATAAATACTGTCAAACATAAATAATGTACAAGACAATCATACGCACGAGTGGTTATGATTATGAGAGGTAGGGTTATGCCGTTTTAATTTGATCTACTTTAATCTTCCCTTCTAATAAAACTGACGTGATGTTTGTCTGTATTAATTCATCTGACTTTAAATTAATTAATTTAGTCCATTTTATGTCACATGATTTACTTTAGTGACCTGATTTAGCTGGTTATGAAGACTGGAGTAATGATGGTAAAAATTCAGCTTTGCATTAAAGGAATACATTACATTAGGCTAATATATTCACACAGAAAACAATCATTTTAAATTGTAATAATATTTGATAATTTTTACTGTATTTTCGATCAAATAAATGCAGCCTTGGTGAGCAGAAGAGACTTTCAGAAACATTCAAAAAAATCTTAACTACCCCAAACTTCTGAATGGTAGTGTATTTGCTTTATAAAAACTGACCGCCAGTGTCAACTAATTCAATTTATTCTGTAAAATAATTGAATTTTGTGACCTGAATTAGGACAGGTTTCAGAGGTTAGCTGGTCTTTTTTTGTCGCACTTGTCAAATAGTTGGTCACCTAAACCAGCTTAACCCAGCAAACCACTTTAGGCTGGTTTATTTTAGCACAAATGTTAATGATTGCTTCTGTTTTGAATCAGATTAGTAACCGTGTAAAATGCAAAAGCACATGCAAACGTCATGTTATAAACTCTTTTTAGCACCGTTAAACTGATGTCAGTACATTAATGAACATTAATAAAATATCATATATATTAACCAGACTAGTTCATAAGGACATCTATGCATTTAGCTGACGCTTTTACCTAAAGCTGAAAACGATCGTCCGGATAAAGAGATTTCAGTAGTGCTCCTTTGCAGTGTTTTCTACCTTCTTCTAGATTGTCAAACCCATTTTAAGCCAGACTTTGATGCAAGACACAAGTTAAACATTCAAATACACAAAACATTCAATTACTTATGTTTTCATATCAAGCAGTTTGCTGTCGTCAGAGTCTTTTGCTCCATATGAAATAAAAAAAAATCTAAAACGTGTTTTACGTGCAGTAGTTCATGTCCTTCTGGAAAAAGAGCAGATCTTTTGGATTATGAAACGCTTTTTAAGTTATTAAATGAATCCCTTTCTGTCAAAACTCTGCCCAAAATGAAGGATTTGACCGTTTGCTACAACTAAAACTAAAAAGAAACCCTCAAACGTGCTGTTGTTGCAACCAAACGAGCAGGATTTGCTCATAAATGAATCTAACATTTAACATGGTTGACCAAATGTTGATTCATTTTCACAAGAACACGCGACTACATCCATGTAATGATCATTTCACCCACATTTCCCCATAAAAACGAATCCAATCCGCATCCCGAACCGTCCTGATTCGTAAAGAGACTCGCAGTTATTTGGTTCTTGTAACTTTCGGAAAGTGCAGAAGTGGGACGTTTCGTACTTGTTCTGTTTAGCGTAGCTGCCAGACGTGAAAAAAAAAAAACACGCGAATCAGTCGTGACGAGTTTTTCTCAAGTTGATTTAGTGGACGTCTTTCTTACTGGATTTTGACAAAAAGGCCCGTATGAGGATGAGGAAGACACTTCCCACAGAAACCGCCGCAGCGGCCGTAGATTCTGCTACCGTCCTGCAACAATACAACACAACGATGATTAAATCACTGCGTACAATAATAATTATTATAATAATCAGTGTTGGGGGAAGTTACTTTTAAAAGTAATGCGTTACAATCAGTTTTGGGGGTAACGCATTACAAGTAACGCGAGTTACGTAATCAGATTACTTTTTTAAAAGTAACTAGTAAAGTAACATTACTTTTTAATTAAATAGAAGGAAATATCAGAGTTACTTTTTCACATAAGTAACAGTTGCTTTGTTTCTCATGTATTGGCTGACAGCTCTGGTGTTGCCGTGGTGACAGAAATCAGGAGTAAGTGCAGAGCGTACAGTAAGAACATGATTTACTGTAGTTATGTATTTATTCATCTCACTGCACAAAAACAGATTCAGTGTTCCTCAAAATGAAGAAAAACAGTGAAATGTAAACTCAGGATATAAGGCAAACCTGCTATAATCAAATGTGTTAAATAAGACTATATCATTTATGTATTTAATCCCATTTTATTAACCAGTGTCTTTGCTGCTGACCTTCGATGATCCAATTCAACCATACTAAGCAAAAATCACACATTTGAGTTTCATTTTTGTTATTGCTGAATAGTGTTGAACTTTCTTCTCCTGCGTCGTATTCTTCATGTGATGTGTTTGAGCTGCGCCCTCTACTGTACAGACATGAGTTTACATTTCCTTCAGCCTTGAGGCGCATTCATTTCACTTTTGGTGTGAAAGGGCTTTTATATTTATAAAGAAATAACTTTTTATATTAAAAACAAACAAGCAAGCCCTGCCCAGATTTAAAAAGTAACTCAAAAGTAACGTAACGCATTACTTTCCATAAGAAGTAACAAAGTAATGTAATTAGTTACTTTTTTTTAGGGAGTAACGCAATATTGTAATGCTTTGCTTTTAAAAGTAACTTTCCCCAACACTGGTTGCAATATTGTGTTACTCCCTAAAAAAGTAACTAATTAGGTTACTTAGTTACCTTTTATGGGAATTAACACAAGTTACGTTACTTTTGCGTTACTTTTAAAATCTGGGCAGGGCTTGCTTGTTTGTTTTTAATATATAAAAACAATATATATTGTATTTTTGGCAAATGTAAAAGCGGTTTTACACCAAAAGGGAAATGAATAAGCCTCGGGCTGAAGGAAATGCATATTCGCATCTGTACAGTCGAAAGTTCAACACTCTTGTTTATCTAAAGTTAGGATGGTCGAATTGAATCATCGAAGGTCAGCAGCAAAGACACTGGATAATAAAATGGGATTAAATAGATAAAATATATTTGTCTTATTTAACACATTTAATTATAGCAGGTTTGCCTGAGTTTGCATTTGACTGTTTTTATTCATTTTGAGGAATACTGAATCTGTTTTTGTGCAGTGAGATGAATAAATACATAACTACAGTAAGATCATGTTCTTACTGTACGCTCTGCACTTACTCCTGATCTCTGTCACCACGGCAACACCAGAGCTGTCAGTCAATACATGGAAACAAAGTAGCTAACTTGCGTTACTTATTTGAAAAAGTAACTCAGATATTTTCTAATAAATTAAAAAGTAATGTGTTACTTTACTAGTTACTTAAAAAAGTAATCTGATTACGTAACTCGCGTTACTTGTAATGTGCTACCCCCAACACTGATAATAATCCTAATAATAATAATAATAATAATAATAATCCACGTCCTCACTTCTGAACGGTGAACTTTGACCGTGACGTAGTTGCCTTGGGAAACCCATTTAGTGGATTCTGCGACCTTCAGTCCTGTTCCACTGAGATTTATACTAAACTGACCCTAAACAATCAGAGAAGAGAGAGATTATTAGTGCATTACATAAAAATAAATTATTAAAACAATCTCTAAAAATTAAGGTCAATAACTGGTTTGTTTGATTTTTTGAAAGAAATAATTATTTTATTCAGCAAGGACACATTAAATTGATCAAAAGTGGGAGTAAATGCATTTATATAATTCCAAAAGGTTTCTATTTCTAACAAATGCTGTTCTTTTGAACTTTCTATTCATCTTTGAATCCTGAAAAATAAAATGCATCACGGTTTCCACAAAAATATTGGGCAGCACAGCTGTTTTCAACATTGATAATCCGTTTTGTTTCCATTTTTCTCCCAGTGTTTTTCTTTCCGTTGTGTCCCCATGGATCCCTTCACTCGCCCCGAATTCCTCCTCCTCCTGCTGGAGCAGGGAGACAAAGCTCTCGAGGACCATACCAAACTGTTCCTGTTGGTCGCGAACATCACTAGCTATCCGGATGACGTGCTCTGCTCTTTCTATGATGCAAGCCTGAACGCCGAGTGCAGAGCGCTGTCGTCCGAAAATGGTCCTCGGGAGGAATTCGGCGCATTCGTGGAGTGGACTCTGGCGAGAAACGGGTCGCCACTCATCATCTGCCCCGTGGAGGATCTCGCCGGATCGCCTTGGAAGTTGAGCCCAACCCGTCAGACCATGTGCGAGAGCCGGCGACAGTGCCCATTGGGATAATGCAATGTCAACAATAACAGACATTTGCATTCGGACGGGATTCAATTTCAGATTTAGCAGATTTGCACGGGATTAAAATCGCTGTCACGCCCCTGGACTCTTTGTGTTGTGTTTTCCCTCCCCAGGTGTGCCGTGTTCCCTTTAATTAGTCATTCCTTGCACCTGTGTTTTCCCAATCACCCAGTGTTTAAAAGCCCCAGTCCTTTCAGTTAGTGTTTGTCGGTCCTCAAACGTCATTCCTTGTGTTCCAGTGTCTCCTGCGTTCCCCGTGTGATCATTAAAGACTGTGAATTGAAGTTATCTCCTTGTTTTCTCGTTCCTTGCTCCTTGCCTCCCGAGAAGTGTGACACATAGAAAGCAGTTATTTTAAATTGTAATAATATTTCACATTTTTACTGTATTTTTGATCAAATAAATGCAGCACTTTTGAGCAGAAGAGACTTCTTTCAGAATCATCTTGAGACTTGATTTGATCCACTGACTCTGTGTTTGGACTGGTGTTTCTAAACATCTAGTCATCTAGGACCTATAATGATGTTACCTGAGGACATTTAGCAGCGCTGTAACAGTCTCCTGCGGACGCAAACGGGACGGAGCGACCAAACAACGTCCGACTGAACTTCAAATCAGTCGCTGAAACACAATTAAACAATCCAATGAGAATAAGATGAAACTCAACATGACGGTGAAACAGCAAGTCAGTCAGGACAAAACTGCTGTTTACAGAAGTGCATTCACCAACAGTTCACAACAAGGTTTCATTTGTTAACATTAATTAAAAATGCACAATACGCTAACAGAATTTATTAATCTTCAAATTTATTTCCAATAATACGTTTAAAATTAAAAGCTGTATCAGCTAACATTAGTTAATGCACTGTATAAATTATAATATAAATTACAATAATTATAATTTATATTAAAAATAGTGAAATACATTTATTTTTATTATTTTACAAATTTATTTATATAAATGTATTTTTATTAATAAAAATAATTTATATTTATTATTAAATTACATGTATTTTATAAATGCATTTCTATATATTTATAGTTTTATTTGTATTATTGCTAAATGTCATCTGTTCACGTTAGCTAATGCATTAACAAATCAGACCTTACTGTAAAATGTTACTGTATATTTTGCATGAACGTTGCGAGGTAAACGACTCACGGATGATGCACATGCTGGAAAGATCGAGCCGTACGCGGTGAAAGACGGTGTAACCGGCCGCAGTGTAATCGTTCCTGCAGGCGCAGTCCTGCCGCCGACTGCCGTTATACGGACATTCAAAGGGGTTCTGCAGCCTGGAAATATGATTCAAGAGAAATGCTGATTATACATATATGTGACCATGGACCACAAAACCAATCATAGGTTTCAATTTTGAATGAAAGTTGAATAAATAAGCTCTCCATTGATGTATGGTTTGTTAGGATAGGACAATATTTGGCCGAGATACAACTATTTGAAAATCTGGAATCTGAGGGTGCAAAAAAATCTAAATATTGAGAAAATCATCTTTAAAGTTGTCCAAATGAAGTTCTTAGCAATGCATATTACTAATCAAAAATTAAGTTTTGATATATTTACGGTAGGACATTTACAAAATATCTTCATGGAACATGATCTTTACTTAATATCCTAATGATTTTTGGCATAAAAGAAAAATCTATAATTTTGACCCATGCAATGTATTGTTGGCTATTACTACAAATATACCCCAGCGACTTAAGACTGCTTTTGTGCTCCAGGGTCACATAGGTATATATTTCATTCAGTAATGGAAGTGTCCATAAAAAGAGTTTGATCTTTTTAAAAATGTTTTTTTGTGTGTGTGTGTGTGTGTGTGTGTGTGTGTTTATGCTTCTTGAAATATCAAAACATTAGTTTAGCAACATGTTAACATCAGACTTTGACTCTGGAACAGAGCTGTGATATTTCTGAAAGAAGTCTCAGAAGTCTCATTTATTTGATAAAAATACAGTAAAAATTGTGAAATATTATTATAATGTAAAATAACTGTTTTCTATGTGAATATCTGTTAAACTGTAATTTATTTCTGTGATCAAAGCTGTATTTTCAGCATCATTACTCCAGTCTTCAGTGTCACATGATCTTCAGAAATCATTCTAATATGCTGATTTGCTGCTCAAGAAACATTTCTGATTATTATCAATGCTGAAAACAGTTGTGCTGCACAATATTTCTGTGGAAACCGTGATGCATTTTATTTTTCAGGATTCACAGATGAATAAAAAGTTCAAAAGAACAGCATTTGTTTGAAATTGAAGTCTTTTCTAACATTAAAATGTCTCTACTGTCACTTTTGATCAATTTAATGCATCTTTGATGAATAAAAATATTAGTTTCTTAGTTATCCCAAACTTTTGAATGGTAGTGTATCACCGTTTCTACAAAAATATGTTTTCAGCATTGATAATAATCAGAAATGTTTCTTGAGCAGCAAATCAGTATATTAGAATGATTTCTGAAGATCATGTGACACTGAAGACTGGAGTAATGATGCTGAAAATACAGCTTTGATCACAGAAATAAATTACAGTTTAACAGATATTCACATAGAAAACAGCTGTTTTACACTTTAATAATATTTCACAATTTTTACTGTATTTTTGATCAAATAAATGCAGCCTGGGTGAGCAGAAGAGAATTTCAGTCATTATTGCACTGGTTTGTCACTGAAGGCTTGTCTCTGTACCTGTATCTGTACACCTCGGAGTAATTGTCGGTCTGGCCGCTGCGCAGGGTCACGTACTCTTTGGGGAAACCGCTCTGCATCTCGGCGCAGTAGATCTGCAGGATCTTGGACCGGACTTTGATGTAATGCTCTCCATCTTTCTGAACGCCTCCCTTCACCTGAACTTCTCGACAGCTCGTGTGCAGCTCACCTGATCAGAGAAACACACGTCAGCGCTTCTGCAGGCTTCACACACTCAAGACCTTTGTAAGACCAAGCAATGGAAGCACAACAGCAGGATTATTACAGTTAACTAAAACTGAAAATACACGGCAAAAAAAAGTGCTTTTGTTTTGTTTTCCAGTACAAATATCTAAACATTCTTAAGATGCATTTCCTTGAGATGCAAAATGAATGAAGATATCAAGTCTTGTCTTCTGAAGAATTATCAAACTGAAGTGAGTTTATGCCTAAAATAATAACACATCTGTCAATGAGGTCAGAAAAACAAACTTAATCTTCATTTCTGTCATGACAACTCTCGGAGGGATTGGCATGGTAATGTACATGACAATGTTAATGTATTTGTCACCCTGGAGCACAAAAGCAGTCTTAAGTGTCAATGGAAAGCTTATTTATTCAGCTTTCATATGGTGTATAAATCTTAATTTCGAAAAATTGACACTTAAGACTAGTTTTGTGGTCCAGGGTCCCATTTGGTCTTGGCGGAATAGATCTGCTACGCTGCTGCTGCTGCTGCTGCAGAGCAAGTACCGAGACTTGCTACTGACAATACATCCAGAACATGCTGCTGTGAGCATGTAAGAAATACTGCTGCTGCACATATAACATACATGAAATCCCCCTCATATAGCATACATGAATCACCTCGTAGCATGATCTATACAGGTGGAGCTGGGGA